GAAATCCAAATAAGGGTGTTTATTCTCATTTGTTCTCTTTCCTTTTATTTGCAGAACTATTTTCACTTCCTATCAGCTGGAGGAGCTGGAGAAAGCGTTTAATGAAGCTCACTATCCAGACGTATACGCCCGAGAAATGCTCTCCATGAAGACTGAGCTGCCAGAGGACAGAATACAGGTGTGTTAATTGATATCTGCTCAGTATATGCAGAAAGGTAAATATGAATGCTCTGCTATTATCTCAAATCATGGAGATGCTTTAATCATCTTGCTTTAAAGAGGGACAATATGACAAAAAAGTGTGTATTCAGTCAGATAACTCAGATATTTCCTGCAATATAAAGCTTCTTTAACATGAACTCAAAGTTAAAATGACTTGCAATCACAGTAGCAGTAGTAGTAGCAGAAATGAAGCTTATTTCAGAGGGATGAAGATGGATTTTTAAACAAAACAACCCCCATAAAAAAACAGGTAGATCCACTAGTCAGCTGCTCCATCATCATCCTCACAATGGCTTCTGGTTTCACATTAGCAGCTGATTCACCTTCTCAGTGTAATTAGTTAATTGAGGATAACTTATTACCTCTTTCCCTGCGAGAGACGGGCCGCAGCCCTGAAATGAAACGATAACTACATAGAAATTAATTTGCGCAGGTCAATGGTGGAGCAGAGGCCTCTGGCTGCTATGAGCATTTTAATTTCCCGTGATATTTGAGCGCCTGTCTCCCATCGATCGGGCCTGGAAATTAACTTATTTTTCAATCAGCCTCTTTGCCCCTGGGGTCACCTGTCCCTTCACACACACGTGCGAGCGATGACAAACACACTGTCATGCACACTCACACTGCTGCTGTCAAAAAGCATGATTGCTCATCTGAGGCTCATCTTTTTATGAGATGGAGGTTATCATCAGATCTACCTGAATAGCTTTCCTGGCTCAGCTTTGATCGTTTTTAATTCCAGGTCTGCAAAATACACACACACACACACACACACACACACACACACACACACACACACACACACACACACACACACACACACACACACACACACACACACACACCCTTCCCATCCTGCCTCCTCGGCCATCTTAGGATGCTCATTTTTCCCCTGTTTTGCTCATCCATATTCACAAGCTTGCTGAGGCTATTACAAGGTCTGGCTTGGTGGAAATCAATTTAGGCACTTGAAGAGCCAGAAGGAGAGTAATGCATGAGCATGCCCGCACACACACACACACACACAAAATGGGCCGAAGATATTCTATAAGTGAAGCAATGAGGAAAAAATATTAAACATTGAATGTCAGCACTGAATTTTGTGCAGACACTTTCATTTTGAGTCTATAATGGACCTAAAGGAATCTGTGCACAAGCAAACATCCAAATTTGAATCAAAATGGGAAGGAGTCTTCTTCATTTACATTATCTTTTGTTAAAGCCTCTCCTGGGCCACTAAAATAAAATATTCTTATGTTGATCCAGCAGTGACTTTGGATTGTCTCATCATCAAACTAAAAGAAACGAGTAAAAGAAGATTCCCTCCAAACATGTTTTAATATAAAAATACTCTGCTCTGAATAATAATTTGTATCTGATATGTGTATTTACACAAAAAAAGTCCAATTATCTGGTTAAAATCTTAAATCTTAAAATTACATTTACTCCTTCTCTCTTTTAAAAAAATCCAGACTCTATGAATAATCATGCAAAATTTTTACTTCCAAACGCAAGATTGTCTCCTGCTTCACTTAAAAGTACATTTTCAGTGTATGTGCATGGATTTTCAACCCAGTACACACAATTTAACCTGAGATTTAAAGCGATCACAGAGAAACGCTCCCACCTTCAGCAGATGAATGTGAAAACAACCTTTTAGTGTCAAACTCTGCACATACGTCATTCTGCAGTGACGCCCAAACATCCAAGTGAAGCAACTGCACGCAGTGTGGGGGGATTTAAATCGTATTTTGGTCTACTTACAATTAAGAATGTTCATAGATAAATTATAGGCCTGCAGGTTAATGTCACTGTATTGCAAAGCTAATAAACTTAAATAAATCTGACCCTTATCTGACCTTCATCTCTCCAGGTGTGGTTTCAGAACCGCAGGGCCAAGTGGAGGAAGAGGGAAAAGTGTTGGGGTCGCAGCAGCGTGATGGCAGAGTACGGCCTGTACGGGGCCATGGTCCGTCACTCCATCCCGCTGCCGGAGTCTATCCTCAAGTCAGCCAAGGAGGGCATCACGGACTCTTACGCGCCGTGGCTATTAGGTGAGCTGTTGCAGAAGTATGTTTGTTGACATTTCAACTGGGAGAATTACAGATCACAGAGGAGAGTTTGACAAGTCACAGTAGGAAAAGTCACAGGTAATATGTAAATGTAAATGTAAATAATATGACTGTTGAGGGCTGAATTCCATTTAGCTGCTTCAGTATTTTTCTGGTATTTTACATGTTTCTCACTGTCACTGGGACACTTTAATAGAATAGAGCCATAGTTAATGTTATAAGCAACACCTCTGCTGTTCCTTCTCTGACGGACTTATATAAAGTCTATTATGAAATTTATGACCTTTATTGATCTTGATCTCTATTGGCAAAAACAATGATAGAATTGGCATTCTCCTCCTGCCTTTTATTATATGACTGTCTGTAATTTATAATTTGGTAAGCTTGCCTCAGCTTTTGTTTTGTTTCTTAAAATTCCAACACTCTCACAGATATTTTACAGATCATTATGGTCATAATGTAAAAGGTGGCAATAAAAGTCATACATATTACACCTTTAATATCAATAATGAGGCTCATTATTATTATTATTATTATTATTATTATTATTATATTATTATTATTATTATTATTATTATTATTATTAAGTGAAAATCAAGTTTGCAAAGTTATCTCTCTTCTCCATTGCCCCATTCAGACTTTCTTCTGTCTGATACAAATACAATGTGGGGGTTTTCCTGCTCATTCTTGTGTAATTACTGTTAGCCCATATTTTAGTTGCTGTACTGTAGGTCCAAAGAAAACCTGCTTTTGTTGACATAAATGCAATCCTTATTTGTATTAGTTTGTGTCATTGTGTTTGAAAATGGGGATTAAGATGTATTCTGACAACAGGGAGTGGGAGCTAAGCCGGGCTCATGTTGGGAGCCAATAAAAGTGTCAGCATGTCAATAAGAGGTAGCAGTCAATACAGTAATAATCCTACTTAATCAGGACAGATTAGCCTAAATCTCCTCTTGCCTCACGTTAATTGATTAATTTAAATCAATTAGGTGTCTCTAACTGAATAAGAGGTCCTGTCCATCGATCTGTCCCCTTCACTCTCTTTCACACTTCATTTCAATGTCAAACACCTCAACACATAAAAACTGGTGCTACATTATAGATTTGAAATCACCTAAATGCATCAATACGTCATGCTACACCTGTAAACACTAAGACAAGGATGCTTACAAGACAAAAGTGCTCTTGATAAGTGATGTTATCCAACCCTTCTCTGCAAACCCTAAGTGGACTGTCCTTCCCCTTCAGGTATGCACAAGAAGTCAGGTGAAACCTCGCACACCTCTCCTGGAAAGCCCTGCAGCCTGACACCATCACCACCACCAATAACACAGGAGAAACCAGTGGACAAAGTGATGGAGGAAGAGGAGGAGAAACAGACAAAAGACACTAACTCGCCAATTTCTAAGGAGGAACTGAGGGAGAACAGTATTGCTGCACTGCGAGCGAAGGCACAGCAGCACAGCGCGAAGATGCTCGGGACGGTTTCAGACAGGACAAGCAGCCACTTGACGCATAAAGAGGAAACTGGGGACAAGGTGACGGAGCAGGAAACAGCAGAGGTGGAGAAGAGCAACTGAAAAGGGCTGCAGGATACAGACTGATGGCGAAATACCCGCAGAGTGGAGTTTACAAACACGTCAGAGGCACAAGTCTTGTTTCATTGGTTGAGTTGGAGTCACCCATGAGCTTGTTAGACTTCATACTGCAGATTATATATTATAAACCTCTCAGTAACTTCTGCTCTGAGAAAAGGTTCTTCGGCGCCAACATTTTGAGGTTTATTAACTCAACCAATGAGATTATTTCTTCCTCGCTGCCCTTAGAAATATTTGTACAGCCAACTCCAAACTACACTCTTCATGTCACCTTTGGAAGGAGACTTAAAAGGAGGCTTACGCACACAAGTGTTTCCCTAACCTTTACTGAAGATGGAGCTGCGTTAAAAAAAATATATTTATTTTCTTTTAAATAGATTGTTAACCTTTACAGTTCTGTGAAATGGCAGCTACTTTATGCAACAGTGTGGATAAAGATGGTATCTGGAAGCAAGTCTCCTTTCAACAAGCATCTTTAGCACGAAATAGACCACCTGCTCCACAGGTGCTAATAAGGAGTGACCTCTGACCTCACCTCCCTCACTGATTTCAGTTAAAGCACAGCTGGTATAAAGTCCTGTGAAAACGTTACAAGCCTGAATCTTTGTTTTCTTTCATCTGTTGCAACATTTGTGATGTACATACTGAAAATAATGTCCGATAGTTAATGTGTACTATGTGTACAGTTAACATGAATTATCTGTTTCTCTGTATAAATGTATCTGTAGCCTCATTAAAAGTTACTGATATTTAAAGCCGTCTTCCACTCAAAAATTTGTTTTGCTTATTGTCTTCACCTGGATGTTTCTCTGATAAGTTTCTCTTTGTTCACCATAAATCTCACTTTAAGACTTATTTTTATGAGCATGACTTTGTGACATCACAACTAGTTTAGAAACCAGCCTTGAAATCTGGATCTTTAAATGAGGGACAAGAAGTCATTATAGGCTAATTTCCACAATCTTGCAGAAAGAGAAACCTTTCTTTTCTTTTGCAACTTTACTTCCAACAAAAGATAAAGTGTCGGCACATATGTACCGCCCTTTAACGCATCACTGCTCTAGCCTCCTCCTCCTTCCCCTCAGGAGATTCCAAGTTTTTCGCCTCACTTAAAGAGCGGCAGAGCGACTTCCAAAATTGCTTAAACACTGACTCGTCTGAGAAGGAAATGCTTTGCAAACATAACTTCCGCTAACACGCAATACTTTTTCGCTGTCATGATGTGGCTGCCTTACAGATGCACCTCAAAGTACGCAGTTACCGTCTTCAGATCTTATTTCCATGTTTTGAGTCGAAGGAGATGTAACATAACGGCGTTCATGCCCGAGGCTGCGGGCTTTGAAGGCGCGTCGAACCGCTCGGCCCTGCAGGAGTTTTCCGTCTCCAACAGTGAGAGCTTCTGGGCCGCTGTGGCGAACAAGAGACTGAGCTGGATCCGTCCTTTCCACACGGTCCAAGACTGTGATCTGAGCCGAGGCATGATAAAGTGGTTTGAGGGAGGAAAGCTGAATGTGTCCGGTAAGACTGGGTTCCCATTTAATAATAACACGACTAATGATTGGATTTATGGTGATTAATTAAAGTGATAATCGGAGGCATTGATTTTATTTCCTTCTGACAGACACAGTTTCCCATGCTGCTTTTTGAGAAACACTTCTAAATAAAACAAGTCTAGAGACAACAAAGGGATCATCATGCAAACCAGTCTCTTAATCAGCATATCTATTCAAAAAATACCTTAATCACCATGTGACATTTTCTATGAGTGTGTGTATCTGGTTTCTAAATGGGTTGATGCAGTGAACTGCCTGGACCGCCATGTGCACACCTGTCCTGAGAGGGTGGCCCTGATCTGGGAGAGAGATGAACCGGGGTCAGAGGTCAAGGTCACCTACAGGTCAGCAGGTTGGATTTAGTGTGGGTGTGTGTTCCTCCTCCTTTCGTCCCACGTAGTTAAGTTCATTGATATCTCTCTACAGGCAGTTACTGGAGATGACATGTCGCCTGGGCAACCTGTTAAGGCGGCGTGGCGTGAAGAGGGGGGACTGCGTCACCATCTACATGCCTCCTTGTCCTCTGGCTGTGGCGTCCATGTTGGCCTGTGCCCGTATCGGTGCAGCACACAACGTGGTGTTTGCAGGTTTCAGTGCTGAGGCCCTCGCAGAGCGAATCAGAGACGGTGAGATGGTGTGACTCACCTGCTGATGCCGTCTGACTGAGATGACATATTTAAGTGACTGGGCATAAAACTGTAAACAGGACACATTTTAAAGCTGCACTGATCAATATTATTTTATTTTGACAGTAGATCAAATCATTATCTGTAATGTGCAAGTGGTTGCTTGCAGTGACAAATGCACAGAGAAGTATCACCCGACCCTGCAGCTCCGATCTGCTACGAAACATTTTAGCCGCTTTCATCTCGTTGTCTTGGTTTTAAAGCTGCAACTTTACTGTTTGGTTCAGTCTCACTGTTCTTATTAACCTTGTTTCCAGCCACAGCAGGCAGCGGTTTTCAATGATAAAGCCCTGATAAACCCACTGCACACTACCTGACCAGCGTCAAACGACAGCCTAACAAAGTTAATGAGTAGCAGAGAGCCAAGTTTTTTGGGGGGAGGGAGTTGGTGGAGACCAAAACCAGAGCTAAAAGGAGAGTGAATTTGGACTTACATTTACCGTGTAGACACAAACACCACTCTAAATGAAAGCTAATGTTGCTGTGTCTGCTGGATGTGGAAATTGATAATTGTTTGCTAATATTTGAATCATAACTATTTTAAAGGATGATTATAAGGTTGCTGATCTTTCTGCTTCCCCCAAGTGGCCAATAATCAATTAATGCTGTGTTCATTTCTAAATGAGTTGGTCAGCAGGACATACTGTTGCCTGAGTGAAGTATCTGATTTCCTGGATCAAAAGATTATGATTGCCTCCTCACTCTTCACCTTGTTCCTTGACAGAAACTATTCTTGGGCCCTTCTCCTTATAAAGTTCAGTGTGTGTTCAGCGATATAATCTCTGTCCTTAGCCACAGTTTCACAATATTTGGGTACTAAGTTTGAAACTGAATCGAAATGCAAGAGGTAAAAGTGACCACAACAGTCAATTAAAAAAATAATCCACCTCAGCAGTCTGATTTCTTGAACATCCTGTTTTCAGCCCAGTGTAGCACCGTCATCACGGTAAACCAGGGCGTCAGAGGGGGTAAGGTCTCCGAGCTGAAGAAGACAGTGGATACAGCCGTTCAGAGCTGCCCGACAGTACAGCAGGTGTTCGTTGCCATGAGAACAGAGAATCCGCTCGCCATGACAGCCAAGGACGTTGCCATGGAAGAGGTAAGAGTGTAAGCCAATCAGAAATGAATTAAGAGCAGCTGCACTTTGTCACTTTTCCCTGAATTAGTAAAGAGTTGTTTTAAATGTTGATTTAGCAGAAATACAGTTTATCTTAATAAATTACTTAATAAATAAATCAGTTAAGCAAAATTGTTCATTTTGATCAACTAACGGATTAATCAATAACATTTTTTGAGATTAAAAGTTTGAGATGTTGGAAACAGCAGCTAACAGAACAGTGTCACACCTAGGTCCATTAGTAGCTGTTCTGGAGCTTCCTCAGCAGAAGAAAAATGGAAATTTGAACGTCTAAGCTACACTTCCCTGAGGAAGATCCTGTGATTCGATAGAAAGCTCCAGAACAGCTACTAAATGGACTAACCTTAATTCTTATGCCTTTGTTACTTCTATATTTTTAGTTTCTTATCCTTGCATCATAAAAAGTTACATTGTACATGTTGCACACCATACATCATGTTTCAACCAGAAAAAGTTCATAGAATAAAGTTTGTTCTGTTGTGGCTCCATTACTGAATGTGATTTTTAACAAATGAAAACTAAAAATTCACTTTGCCGTGCAGGAGATGCTGAAGGAGGACACAGTGTGCGAGCCAGCTGCCATGGACAGTGAGGACGTCTTGTTCCTGCTTTATACATCCGGCAGCACGGGGAAGCCCAAAGGACTCGTCCACACTCAGGCTGGATACCTGCTGTATGCTGCACTCACTCACAGGGTAACACCAAGCTCGACCTGTGGAGTCTTGTTCTTATTTTTTAAATCACGCAATGCATAGTCACAGCAGATTCACAAACATTGTACTCTAGTTTTAGCATGGTGTATCCACGTCATATAGTGAACTCAAGGTATATTATTAACCAAACTTCCACCTTAAATAGTATTATACTTCAAAACATAAAAAGGAAACGAAACACCCAATCTTCTCTTTTTATCCAATCATCCCATCAATCTTCCCTCTCATCACAGTACGTCTTCAGCTACCATGACGGAGATGTGTTCGGCTGTGTGGCAGATATTGGTTGGATAACAGGACACAGTTACAGTGTCTATGGGCCCCTGGCCAACGGGGGAACCACTGTCCTGTTTGAGAGCACTCCCATTTACCCTGACCCAGGTATGAATGTCAGCACTGTATCAGACTGGTCGACAAATTTCTAATAAAAATAAAACTCATCTTATATTACAAAAAAAACTAAATACCTTTAGTTGAAAAAGTAAACCCTCTAATTTGTCATATACTCACTAGTTTTCATTGTATGATTTTAATAACATTTTTAGTGTCATGTTGAAATAAAATTTAATGTGCTGTGTAAAGTGTGTTGGCACACACCTTCCAAGTATTCCTGTCCTTTGCCAAGAGCTCTGCGTGCTTGTGTCTTTGTCTATGAATAACTGTTTACAGTTGAACTTGGCCTTACCTTCCACAGTCCTAATATTAGGACTTCTATATACTCAGGAGTCAGGACACACTCATCATGTGTGTCATCAGCACACACACCTTGTTACTGTCAAGATGAAACTGTCCTCATCACCACTGGGCAGAATGAAAAGCCCTCTGGTGTTAGTCGTAACTTCTCAGGTGACGGCTTCTGTCTAATTTCTGTTCTGATTTTGAGTTTTCCATATCATCTTAGTACATAGTAGTGCATCCCTTTGGACCATGCTAACACAGACGTGTTTTGTTGTTCACAGGAAGGTACTGGGAGATGGTTCAGAGACTTAAGATAAACCAGTTTTACGGGGCTCCCACAGCGATACGCCTGCTGCTCAAGTACGGAGACCAGTGGGTGCACAAATACGACCGCTCCACCCTCAAAACTCTTGGCTCTGGTACGCAAAAACATGCTACTACTTAGAAATACCATTATTTGCTCAATAGCTCTCCATTAAAAGGAAGATTTAGGTTTCTGCAAGATGGTTTTCATTTGTATTGTAACACAAGCAATCAGAAAAACAGCTTTTGAAAGCAATTGAAATGGACATATCTGGCTAATTTGTTTTTTATAATTGAGTAAAGATGGATATTGATGATCAAAATTTTCCAATAATTGGCCAACAGAATTGAATTGATTGATTTTCATTTGAAAATGACAAATTCTTAAACAAAACTGATGCAAGCTATAAACTGAATAATTTCAGTGCAGCATCGCTCAAAGTGCATTGTCTTGTCTTAGTTTTCCAGCTTGTGCAAATGTAAGACTGTTGTATAATTACATCTCCCTCACTATCACAGAGGTAGTCTGACTTTGTGGTGACTACGTTTGTTTAGCATATCATTTCCCTTTTTACTTTGATGCGTTAGCATGCACTTTATTTACCCAAGTCAACCAGCTGGCACTTGTCCACATCAAATACAGTATGTACACACACACACACACACACACACACACACACACGTAACACACATGTAACACACGTGTCATGTAATGGAAAGTTACTGTATACATTCCTTTCCTCTAAGCACACACACATGTTGCAGACTTAAAATATATTAAAAGTCAAGCAGGGCCGGTATGTCAGTGTGCCTCAATGTTCCAGTGTCCACGGCTAAGTCCAGCATGCCAGGAGATCAACCTCACACACACAGAGATGGACAACTGCTCCCCTGAAAGATGAAGCAAATGGGTTAAAAGACAAACATTAACATAAAGAATGGAAGTCCTCGTCCTAACAAACACAGATTCCTTTTACATTTTACAGAAACACTTTTTTTCTTGGTTTTTTCAAAACCTAAACAAAATATGGATTGGTCTAAAACAAAGTACACAAACAGCACGTGGCAACAGTATATGATTATACGGTGCTTGTCTGTGTGCAGTGGGTGAGCCCATCAACACTGAAGCGTGGGAGTGGTACCACAGAGTGGTTGGGGAAGGACGCTGCCCTGTGGTGGACACCTGGTGGCAAACAGGTAACTGTGAATACACCTGAAATTGTGGAATTAATTAGCTACTGGAAACAAAATGAAACAAGACTAATGCTGCATCTCAATTTGGATGCTTCCCTTAGTACACTTCCATGTAGTACACCATGTACACTATGTACTTACTTGAGTAGTGTGTGAATGTAGACTGGGTATTGTCTCAGATCGAACACTGCTGTTTTGCACTTACCCGAAATGACGATAGCAACATTTGACCACTTCTTATTAATGGTGAACTCCAACTGAACAGAGCATCACCACAAAAGATACTGATGGCTTCTATCTGTTAACAGTCCATTATAAGTTGTTGAGATATTTTAGTCTGGCTCAAAGTGGTGGACCAACCTACATCCCCAGAGCCTAAAAACAAGTCATCACAAAAATGACCAACCAACCAATTTGATTGGATTTTCATGTTGGATTATAGAAAAATTTAGGGGCGGTAGAGAAAGTTGTTTGTTAACAGCAGTGCTGAAACAATTAGCTGATCAAATTAATTATTCCACATGAATCACTTATAATTCTTGTTATCAGTTGGGTGATTTGTCAAGCATCCCAGTCATTTGAGAAGCTGTAAGCGGCAAACGATAACGGCTGGAGACTATTTTGGCATTGGGGTGTTTAATGCTTAAGGCTGAACTTTTACTTTGTTATCAGACTGCAGGTTGCATGGTTCAAACTAGCCATTGCTGCTGCCAGCTGCCTGTTCTGCTGTTGGAAGAACTGGATAAGTTCTTCATCCCACACTGTACATGCATTGTGTCTGTGATTACTATCGTACATTTTGCCTGTTTTTTGTGTTATAACTCTGTGTGCTCTAACTTTCTTGTGATATGTCGTCACCAATTAATTTGAACACAGACGCCCCCGGTACCGGGGCAGCACGCAATTGTCAAAACCACTGACTTACTTTTGTCTTATATGCCATTTAAGTCCAAGAATCAGCGGATTTGTTGCTCAGAGTATCGGCGGGCGCCTGGGACCTGTGCCTGCCTTCTTCTTGCCTTTTTTTCAGAGCATGTGGCGCTTTCTCACACACGGTATTTTTTGCCATTTGTTGGGCGACCTGTAGGAGCTACATACACATCCAGGGTATCAAATGAATGTTCTGCTCAAGCAGGATCGATTGATGCCCCCCACCACCACCACGTGGGATGTACCGTTCTCAAGCTACAGACCTGTAAAGCATGGGCGTGCTTTTGGTGACAGGAATGTTGATGAATATTCACTGTTTTTATCAATATTTCAACGTTATGTTATTTGGAATGTGGTTGTATGGACATAGTAATAATAGTGTTTTAAAGATAACTAAAAGATAAATAAAAGTCAACATTTAAACAGTAAATATTGCCAAAATATGAACATTCGCCTGGTATATTTTGAAAATATTGTATGATAACTGTTGTATTTTAGTTTATTTTCATCATATTTACAGTAACCAGGCGTCTTTCCTGGAAAAGGGCTGTTTTTTTCCAACAGGTTAACCAAATCTAATTTATTGTATTCACATAGAACTTGCTTTTGTCTCTCATGCTGTGACTCTTATAGTAGCATTTTTCATCACTTTTTGACAGGATCACAATCCCTCCACAAAAGGCCCTTAAGTTCATAAACTTTCTGTCAAATGCAGCCACGTCTGCAGGCACAAAACAGCCTATCAGTTGGCCTTAAAGGGGAGAGCAGTCTGCTCCGCCCTTCCAACAATAATAGTATTACATAACATCGGGACTGTGGTCAAGTGTGCGCACACACAACATTACAGTACGTGGGGGGAGGAGACACACACACACACACACACACAAATATAAAGTGAGGGGGTGTTTCTATCCCCTCTGGACTCCAGAATCAAACCAGATGTTTTCCTCTCAGAATTAAACATCTGGTTTCAGGAGCAGCACACCAGAACCAGAAGCATGAAGTAAACAGTCAACCTTTTTTTACTTGATATTGAACAATTGTAACAGTCAACATTGACACCATTGCCATACAGACTAATATGACTAATAACACGCGGCAATAATTTAATCCCATCTTCACTGTTTTGTTTGTCAAAACTCTCACATAAGCCAGTTGAAGATGTTATGATCGTAGCAGCCAAAAGAGCCATGTCACAAAATGGATCACGGTCGTCTGGAGAGACTCCGCTCAGCCTATGCTCTTCCCACTTTCAGTTGAGTCTCTATAGTACAGTTTGTACCCCGACCTGCTTGGAAACCTACAGAAAATGTTAATTTGTTCTTTAGTTTGTTTCCATTTTGAGCACAGAGAAATAAAAAATAGAATTGTTTGTTAAAAAAAAATAGGGCTTGTAAAACTGTGACAGTATAATTACAGTATTTGCACTGGGACACAACAGACTTGTCAAATTTGTCCTTCACACTTAGTATAACCTGTGATGTCACTGCAAAATAACTACATAATAATAAGTAGCTTATGATGGGACATAATGACAACATGTTAGAAATCAGCAGATTTCACTAATCGCAAAATCACTTTCGCGATGAACTGATGACTGACACTGTGTTTCATCCTCAGTCCCTTCAAATTAGATTGAGTAATGACCAAATGGAGGAAAAGCTGCATTAATTACCTTACAAATGGCAAAAATCTATAATTAATTGACAATAATTAAACATCAGAGCATCATGAGCTTGAGAATTACAGACACAGATATGACCCAAATACCCCACTTCAGTAAAAAGGATTATATTTTTGTTATTTTCCTGGACCAGTGTTTCCAATTAGGACTAAGTGGCATTATTCATAAATGCCATTTGGTTGATCTGAGAGCAAGTAGCCTGTTTAGAGAGAAAATTTTATTTTGATCTGCTGTTGGCATACGGCCTCCATTGGATCATACAGGACGCAGAGGGCAAGAAGATACAGGAGGTGCTTTGTGGAATTTTAAGGCAGAAGAAAAAAACATAGTATATTTATAAGTATCCACAGGTTTAAATTACTAGTTTGGTATTTTGGGCAATATGCTCATTTGATTTCTTGCGAAGAGCTAGAGGTGAAGATTGATACCACTCTCACGTCTGTATGCTAAACATGAAGCTACAGCCAGCAGCTTGTTAGCTTAGCTTAGCTAGCATAGCAAGTGAAAACAGGGGGAAACATCTAGTGTGGCTCTACTGAGGCTCAACTGGAGAATGTTGGGTAATTTCTTTGCGTGTGTGTGTGTGGGGGGGGGGGGGGGTGTTGTAGCCCAGAAGTCTCACGGTTACAGTTGATCTGAGCAGGATGCCAGTTGCTAATGCTATTGTGGGATCATCTGTTGTGTCCTACTTTAAAACGGGTCCCCTCTGCTGTGAACCAACACTACCAGGCGGATTACGAGGGTCTCTGAGGTCCAGGCTAACCTAATTTAATTTAATGTGCTTAGTATGGCTGTAATTCCACAATCTACATCTGTAGCAATGAGAAGGGCTTATATTAGGTTTACAGTGTTAGCCAGCTCTGTCATGTATTTATATTATTATTTTCCTACTTGCTTCTCTGTCCCTTTCATTTTAATCAAATATTGATTTGCAATTATGTTTTTGTGTTAAGGTTAATTATTTGGCTTTCTGGTAAGCGTTGCACTATATTAATCTGGTCTTGACCAGTCTGTGTAGAAGTGTGTGAAGGTTCATCTATTCTCAGTCTTTTACATTCATGAGACATTTTTAATTCAACATCTTTTGTAAAAGCACATCACTTTGTCTATTATATTATGAGACTTTGTCTTAAGTCTCATAATATTATATAGTCTTATTATCAAAACACAACAATAAACAGGTTCACACTCGATGATAAACTCACCTTTGAGCCTTGAAACTATTCTTTCTTTTGCCCTTGTGAGCTGGTTTGAGTCCCTCACTCTTAAAAACCAAAACAGGCTGCAATATAGTTAAGGTGTGTGGCAAAATTTCCCACAATCCTCTGACTAACCTAAATTCTGTAAATGAGACAAGGACCCTCAAGAAGGCACAATCAGTCCTGTCTGACCCAAGTCACCCCCTGAACAGCTGCTTCATTTTGTTGCCATCTGGCCGCAGATTCAGTCTGCCTAAATGCAGGACAGACAGACACAAAAACTCTTTTGTCCCTGCTGCTATAGGCTTTTTTAATAATTCAGTGTGAGATGTGGACTTCTGTGTAGTATGTAGTTTCTTACTGATGTTGGCTTGTTTTGTATAACCTATGTGTTATTTATGTTACATACTGCTGCACAACGAATTGCCCCCCAGGGATAATAAAGACTCCTTGAACCTTCTTTTCTAGAGATCATATTCCAGGACTTTTCCAGAGATGATCTAGCTGGTATGAAAGACAGGGAACACGTTATACACTAATATGTTTCTCTATGCCGAAGTCTATGGCTACAACTTATCTATGAAATCATCTATTACATAGAAATGACATGATATTGCCTTTTTTAATGCTATGTTATAATATTATTTTTACAGTATAGCCTAGTATTTTTTTTTGTTTTGTTTTGTGTGCTTTTCTTATTAATCATATTTTAACCACTGCTGCCTGAACACCAATGACTGAAGTCTCAACACAAATAAAAGCCTACAATGTTGCCTACTAACAAACTAACTCTCTTGAACTTTAGTTTTCTAAAATCACTGTGGTCCTTTGTCCAGTTGCAGTGTCACAAAAAGTGCTGTTAGCCATTATTTTGCTGGAGTTTGATGCACACACAGCTGGGCTACAATTCATTGTATTGACCCTGGCTTCCTCTTCATTCTTATCCAACTTTCTCAGCAATACACACATTTGAAACCATTGCTCCAAGCCAGAGTTGAAACACAAAATTTAAACTGTTAACCAATTAATATAATTCAACTGTTTAAAACAAGTTGAGAAGAAAACGTTAATCTATAAGCCTAATAAAAACTACCGCAGTTACCAGCTAGCAGTGACTAATATTTACCTTTAGAGGATAATGCAATTTACATTGTAGGACATTTAACTTTTTCTTTCATTTTCCAGGTGTTTTCCATGGCTGGAAAATAAGTCCACTGTTTTCCAGGTTTTCAAGGGCGAGTGGGAACCCTGATAAAAATATAGGCCACCAGCTTTATAATCTGCCTTGTTTCACTCTGTGTTCTCAGAGACAGGTGGCATCTGCATCAGCCCAAGGCCATCAGACCCTGACGCAGAGATTGTCCCAGGAATGGCTATGAGACCTTTCTTTGGCATTAAGCCCGAGCTCATGGACCCTGAGGTGTGGCGCTCATCACTGTGTGACTGTGTGTGTGTGTGTGTGTGGCGTGCCATCCCTGCAAATGTTGGATGGCTGGGAACAGCCCGGAGGAAGGGTCAGATTAGGATTAGTCACCAGCTGTGTCACTTTTGATACCTTTGATACCCACCCTGGTCCCACCCGTCAGTCCCGCTCTGTGCGTGCCAGAGTCCCCATTAATAATCTGTCATAACACTTTGTGGCAACTGCAGTTGCACAGATTGCACAGACAGTTGGAGTGGTGTCTCTGATCTGATCTCTCTTCCTCCCACTAAACAAAACACACACAGACGCTTACATACAGCATTTTGAGAGGACGATATCCACAAGGCTTAATGTGGCGCTCTAATTGTGAGTATAGGTATGTAGGTGTATCAGTGTAGTTGTTGGACCAATCACCAGTGTCACTGCCTATACAATGTTGCAAGTAACAAGACAAAATACATCACATGGCACAATTTTTGCACTTACAACATTATTACTCAGTTATTATTTTGTCCTTGTTTCTTGCATTAACAGTTATCACTGTTTTATATTTTCTTCAGGGAAAAGTGCTGACTTCCAACCACACATCCGGAGCTCTGTGTATAGCTCAGCCTTGGCCTGGTATGGCCCGAACCATTCATAACAACCACCAGAGATTCATTGAGACCTACTGTCAGCCTTATCCTGGTACAGTACGATGTGTTCCTAACCGTCTGTCTTTATGGTGTTTCTCAACTCATTTGTTGTTTTTGGCGAGCACCTTATGGAAATTCAACTGTCACTTTCTTGTTTTGTAAGGTCTCTAAATCTTTGTGCCAAAAGGTTACTTCTTTACTGGTGATGGCGCCTATCGCTCTAAGGAGGGGTATTACCAGATCACCGGCCGCCTTGATGATGTCATCAACGTGAGCGGTCACAGGATTGGGACAGCAGAGATAGAGGATGTAGTCGTAAGGCCAATCAATGATTGACAAATAATTTTCATTCTCATGTAACGGCAACATGCTAATGTTTGTCTAGAAGATTGTACTAACTTTAGCTTATAAGCATGCTATGAAAGCATTATTCTCTTGCAGGAACTTGCTCAAACTTGAATATATGTGGGACAAGTGGGAAATTTGGACTTCTTGGTTACACTATATGAAAGTCATGTTATCAACAACATAATTTTCTGAGGACCATTAATATCTGCGTTAGTGCCTGGGAATCCTCCTAGTGTTTATCAAGGTATTTTACTCTGGCCCAAAGTGTGACTGACAGCATTAGCATACCTGAATCCATGTTTTTTTTCATGGTTGATAACATGACAAATATGTCAAGTTTTATATGAAAGCGATTAAAAAATTTATAGCATTAAAATCATTAACAAAACTATATACACAAGTAATAAGGAAAGTCATTTCAGTTTCATTAAAAGTGCCTTTTTAGGTCCTTTCACCATTTTCCAAAGCTCAAGCCAATCAAGTCAATATTTTCCCATCGGTACAGACGGTTCTGATTGTGATTTCTGTAACAGAATCACTGCTCTGCAGTGGCCGAGTCTGCTGTCATAGGATACTCTCATAACATCAAAGGACAAGGTGAGCAAGAAATATTTTTTTTCTGCGTAAATCAGTCAGAAAATGTGATTCCAACATAATGTAGTTCACAGGGGTAGATACAGTGCCTTGCGAAAGTATTCGGCCCCCTTGAACTTTTTGACCTTTTGCCACATTTCAGGCTTCAAACATAAAGATATAAAACTGTAATTTTTTGTGAAGAATCAACAACAGTGGGCATAATTATGAAGTGGAACGAAATTTATTGGATATTTCAAACCTTTTTAACAAATAAAAAACTGAAAAATTGGGCGTGCAAAATTATTCAGCCCCTTTACTTTCAGTGCAGCAAACTCTCTCCAGAAGTTCAGTGAGGATCTCTGAATGATCCAATGTTGACCTAAATGACTAATGATGATAAATAGAATCCACCTGTGTGAAATCAAGTCTCTGTATAAATGCACCTGCTCTGTGAAAGTCTCAGAGGTCCGTTTAAAGTGAAGACAAGGAACACCAGGCAGGTCCGAGATACTGTTGTGGAGACGTTGAAAGCCGGATTTGGATACAAAAAGATTTCCCAAGCTTTAAACATCCCAAGGAGCACTGTGCAAGCGATAATATTGAAATGGAAGGAGTATCAGACCACTGCAAATCTACGAAGACCCGGCCATCCCTCTAAACTTTCAGCTCATACAAGGAGAAGACTGATCAGAGATGCAGCCAAGAGGCCCATGATCACTCTGGATGAACTGCAGAGATCTACAGCTGAGGTGGAGACTCTGTCCATAGGACAACAATCAGTCATATACTGCACAAATCTGGCCTTTATGGAAGAGTGGCAAGAAGAAAGCCATTTCTTAAAGATATCCATAAAAAGTCTCGTTTAAAGTTTGCCACAAGCCACCTGGGAGACACACCAAACATGTGGAAGAAGGTGCTCTGGTCACATGAAACCAAAATCGAACTTTTTGACAACAATGCAACAACAATGTTTGGCGTAAAAACAACACCGCTCATCACCCTGAACACACCATCCCCACTGTCAAACATGGTGGTGGCAGCATCATGGTTTGGGCTGCTTTTCTTCAGCAGGGACAGGGAATATGGTTAAAATTGATGGGAAATGGATGGAGCCAAATACAGGACCATTCTGGAAGAAAACCTGATGGAGTCTGCAAAGACCTGAGACTGGGACGGAGATTTGTCTTCCAACAAAACAATACAATCTACACTGGAAGGGTTCACAAATAAACATATTTGAAGCCTGAAATGTGGCAAAAGGTTGAAAAGTTCAAGGGGGCCGAATACTTTCGCAAGGCCTGTAAAAATGTGATCGCAATGTTAGTTAAGAATGTCCATCATAGTATTGTCTCTGTGTGTTGTCAGGTGTATGCCTTTGTGGTAATAAAAAAGGGTGTGGACGTCCAAGAGGCAGACCTGTCCCAGCTAAATGACATGGTATCTAAAAAGATCGCCAAGTACGCCTGTCCAGACTGCATCCAGGTACTCTGTCTCACTGACTTTCTACTACTTTTGACTTGTTTGTCACTTGGTCATGT